GGGACCGATACCTTCTTGCTGCGGCGCACCCGCCGCGAGGCGTGCGTAGTGGTGGAGTTGGGTCGGCACTGGTGCGTCAGGTACAAAGCTGCTGATACGCGGGCCTCCAGGCCGTCGGTGGAGGCAGCAACGCCCATCTCATCTTTGTGCGCGGAGGGAGACGCCATCAGAAAGGTGAACGGGCACTATGTACACGGCCCTAGGTTTGCTAGAGGGATCTGTACTTTCTTAGTAACCTGGTTTTGCCATCAAAGGAGGAGGGGACAGGTGGTGACGAGCTGATTGGGCTGGTTGACCACGAGAACTTTCAGACCAAGAACCCCAAGTGCAACGAGGGAGAAAGCGAGGAACTGAATGGGAAGGACAGCAACGAGAGCGTGTACGAAGCGGAGCGGGTCGAGTTTGGTCGTGCTAGGACTGGCCACAGCGGCACCGGAGCAGCGGCACCGGAGCAGCGGNAAAGCGAGGAACTGAATGGGAAGGACAGCAACGAGAGCGTGTACGAAGCGGAGCGGGTCGAGTTTGGTCGTGCTAGGACTGGCCACAGCGGCACCGGAGAAGCGGTACCGGAGAAGCGGCACCGGAGCAGCGGAACCGGAGTAGCGGAACCGGAGCATGCAGACGGCATCGAACCGTGGCGCACGGACAAACATCGCTTGTGTGGTCAATTATTTTCCGTTTTTTTCCTGAATTAGACTATAGGTTTTGGTTGTGTGTGATGACTTCACTGGTTTTGTAGAGAGACGCGGCAGAGACGGCGCGGATAACCCGGGTGCCTTCATTGTGTACCTGCATCGTGGAAGACCCCTTCAATGTGGAACGATTCCTAGTCAGTGTCGATGTTTACACTGCTGTGCCTAACACAGATGATCTGGATAGATTCGGGTGATTTTCAATTGCAATGATGGCTTTGGTTGGGTGTGCTTCTTCGTTGTATGTCCACTGGCTCATTCTGACAGCACTTCAGACAGCAGCTGCATGCCCCGAGCTTGTGTACCATGCACCATGGTGTCATTATTGTACAGACAGCACTGCAGACAGTAGTACGCTGTAGTCGAAAAACATTCATTTTGGCTGAATGCGGGACAAGGGGGGTGATGCTGCTGTAGTCGAATTGTAGTGTGTGGGCGTGTAGTTCAGTTTTGAGGACGCAAACGTGCTGCAGGGATTGCAGGTGTACCTTCTCCGGCTTGTGTACTCTTTTCTTGCTAATAGCTTGCGTTTTCTTTAGATCTTCTGATGGCTCTGGCATTTTTGGGACCACGGACCGAGTCTTTCTAGATTTTGGGATTAGCAACTGACACGAGTTTAATGTGGTAGACAACAACAATAGTTAGACTAGGCTATAGGCCAAAACATGCAAATTTGCGAAGGAAAATGTATCTGTACCTGGTACTACAGCAGTAGTAGTGGTGTACATGATTTCGATTTCTTCAAACTCCAACTTGCTGCTGTACAGTGTTGGTCTTACGTGCTCACCCACCCAAGAACACATCGCAGATGCGTCGAGGGCACAGCGGTAGGGGTACACAACCCCGAGGGACGTCATCATTTCTCTTTGCTTTTCTTACGAAAACACAAGGTATTGCGATCTCTTCACTTCTACTCTAGAGTCCCGGGTAAAATAGCGACACACGCATTGCGTGTCTGTTGTTCCCCTAGCATTTTTTGTGACCACGGACCGAGTCTTCGCTAGATTTTGGGATTAGCAACTGACACGAGTTAAATGTGAAGAAAACAGCCACAACCACAACAACAACAACAACAACAACAACTGCCCATTGCTGTCTGGCACATGGATATTTGCTTTACATGGATCGGAATTGAGACACTTCACGAGCTTTTTCACGCGGCCGAGGCTGCTGCTACACTACCTCCCGCCGATCCTCTCTCTCTCTCTCTCTCTCTCTCTCTCTCTCTCTCTCTCCGATACGAGGGTGTCCTGTGGTTGCATTCTTTGGACAGCAATAACACTTGACTTCTCCCGCAGTGAAAACAGAGTAGTGCGGCATGTCTCACCGCAGCAAAGAATGATCAGTGAGAACAGCGGACGGTTGAGGTTCCCCATTTTCTTTGGTGTGTCTACAAGCGGCGAGCTACATACCGATGTACGTTGTATGTACGTGTACGTTGACTAGAGGAGCACCACAACGTACAACGTACCGCCGAGCAAGCAGCGGCAATGGCACCAGGCAAAAGGCGGGTGCATTCGCATATTCCACGAATCAATTGACGAGACAGGCTTGTTTTGCTCTCCTCGTCTTTACCCCGGAAGCCATCTCTCTCTACACGTACAGCGGGAGCAACAGCAGCAGTGAGTTCTCCCCAAATCCAGCACACCTTGATCGAAGATCACCCTTAACTGCAGGCAGCGTGCGAAGCAGCTGCTTGCCTCTCACTCCCCTCCCCTGTGACCGTTCGCCGGAAATCAATCCAGCTAGCTCTGCTGTGATTCTTGCACGTTCCCGATCCTCACAACGAATGCTCAAGTGTCGTAATCCGACCGGCGCAGCTGTTCCGGCTTTCTCTCCTAGCCTATTCCGTCCCGGCGTGACTGTCAGTATGCTCGCTGGTTTCGGGGTGCCTGATGCCTGCGGCAGCCAGAAAAGAAACAACTAAGAGTGCAAATATGTGTGTTAACCTTGTGTTCGATCGGATGAAATCAATCAATTGAAATCAATCACCAATGCGGACCGAATTTGTTCCTAAATCCGGGCGATCAGTACCCATATACCCTCCCAACACCTCAAAGTACAATCTGCGAAGTTCCTGTCAATAAAAGTTCCACCAACCCGTCTCCACGGCCCACGTGCTTGTTCGCCTGACGCCGATCTCCCTAGCCGATACGGTTTCGCTCGAACGGGCTAGGCGACCGGTTTTCTCTGTCTCTGAGGTTAAGGGTTCTATTCAATTTGGCAGGCGATCTTAGCGTGGCGGCCGTTTGAGAGCTGCTGCAAGTAGTTGGTTACAGCAGGGAGGAGCCTGAGAGGGAGTCAGAGCGTGCTCCAATCGACTTCACCAACATGCGCCGACTACTGCACCGGAAAGTCGACCCTGAAGAGCAGGCCAAGGAATGGAGGCGAAGCATCAACCACGAGGCGAGTTGTTGTCATGCAAGTTCTACTACTGCGCAAGTACATGATTTCCATTCTGTGTGTCCAACCACGGACTGCATATGCATACGAATAGCGAACGGCGGATAGCGCATTGCGGCTCGGACATAAAAGGCGGCGCAACTCACGCCTTGTTTGCATGTCTCTCTGTCGTGTCTCGGAATGTCGCCATCGCAGGGCAGCATCATGACCATCGACACTTGTCTCTTGCAGTAGATCATAGCATATCTCTGATGCTTGTGTATCCCCCTGCCTGACTCGAACGTCATCGATTTATTCCATCTTGCCCCCCTGTCGCTCTCTCTCCCTTGTACAAGGTAATTTAGCTAAATTATTTTCTGCTCTCCTCTTCAGCAGTAGCTCGACCTTGCTTCCAGAGTCGTTTCCTGTTTCCTGGCGATGAAGAGTTGAACTTCGGTAACCGATCACACTGCTGCTTGACTTTACTCTTGTGTGGCCCTGGCTGGGACGTCCGATATAAACGCCGAAAGGCCTGTGAACCGGCGCCAGAATATGTGTGACGAACATATACACCTCCCCCTCCTATAATTTAGTACGCAGCAACAGCAGTGGCGGGACTTGACCGTTACATATGCTCATCCCGTATTCGACACAAGATAACACACCCCCTGGACCGATGTTCAAACCTCGATTACCAAGCACGAAGAGGATGCGTAAACGGAAATACGTTTTCGGATGGCTCTCGATCAGACGGTTTTCAACGCCGCCGTTTTCGGCGCTGCGACTCTTTCTGCTGTTCATAAATCGATCTTTGAAAATCAGTCCAAGGAGGTGTGTTATCTGTGTTGTATTCAGCATATGATTACATGTACTATTTACAAGACAGTGTATGCGATTGGAGAACTGCCAGATGTTACTGCTTCAACACCGTTCAACTACTGTGTCTTGTATTTTTACGCGCTGGTATCGCCCCCCCCCCCCCCCCCCCCCCCCCCCCCCCCCCCCCCCCCCCCCCCCCCCCCCCCCCCCCCCCCCCCCCCCCCCCCCCCCCCCCCCCCCCCCCCCC